ATCAATGAGCTAGAAGACAGATTAGAAGTCACTACTGCAAGAACAGAAAAAAGAAAAAAGAATGAAAGAAATGAAGATAGTTTAAGGGAACTCTGGGATAGCATGAAGCACACTAATATTTGCATTACAGGGGCCCCAGAAAGAGAAGAGAGAGAGGAAGGACCTGAGAAAATATTTGAAGAGATAATAGCTAACAACTTCCCTAACTTGGGAAATGAAACAGTACCCAAGTCCAGGAAGCACAGAGTTCCACACAGGTTTAATCCAAAGAGGGACAAGTCAAGGCACATAGTAATCAAACTGACAAAAATTAAGGATAAGGAGAAAATAGTAAAGTCAGCAAGAGGAAAGCAACAAATAACATACAAGGGAACTCCCATAAGGTTATCAGCTGATTTCTCAGCAGAAACTCTACAGGCTAGAAGGGAGTGGCATGATTTAAAGTGGTGAAAGGGAAAAACTTTCTTGGAAAAAAACAAGAAAACTCTATCCAGCAAGGCTCTTGTTCAGATTTGATGGAGAAATCAAAAACTTCACAAATAAGCAAAGCCTAAAAGAATTTAGTACCACCAAACCAGCTTTACAACAAATATTAAAGGAACTTCTCTGGTCATCAAACCATAAGAAAAGAGAACAAAAAGAAGAAAGAGAGAAAAAAGACCTACAAGACAAACCAAAAACAGTTAACAAAATGGCAATAAGAACATACATATCGATAATTACCTTAAATGTAAATGGATTAAATGCTCCAACCAAAAGATATGACTGGCTGAATGGATACAAAAACAAGACCCATATATGTGCTGTCTATAAGACACCCACTTCAGAGTTAGACATACATGCAGACTGAAGGTGCATGGATGGAAAAAAATACTCCATGCAAACAGAAACCAAAAGAAAGCTGGAATAGCAACACTTATATCAGACAAAATAGATGCTTAAAGACTGTTATAAGAAACAAAGAAGGACACTACATAATGCTCAAGGGATCAATCCAAGAAGAAGATATAACAATTGTAAATATATATGCACCCAACATAGGAGCTCCTTAATATATAAGGCAGTTGTTAACAAACATAAAATGGCAGTTGTTAACAAACATAAAAGGAGAGATCAACAATAACACAATAATAGTGGGGACCTTAACACCCATTTATATCAATGGACAGATCATCCAGACAGAAAGTCAATGAGGAAATACAGACCCTAAATGATGCTTAGGCCAGATGGACTTAATTGACATCTGTAGAGTATTCCATCAGAAATCAACAGAATACACATTTTTAAGTGCACATGGTACATTCTCCAGAGTCAATCACATGTTGGCCCACAAAGCAAGCCTCAGTAAATTTAAGAAAATTGAAGTCACATCAAGCATCTTTTCTGACCACAATGCTATGAGGTTAGAAATCAACTACAAGAAAAAAACTGCAAACACGTGGAGGCTAAACAATATCCTACTAAACAACCAGTAGATCACTGAAAAAATCAAAGAGGAAATCAAAAAATTCTTTGAGACAAATGAAAATGAAAACACAATGATCTAAAACCTCTGGGACACAGCAAAAGTAGTTCTAAGAGGGAAGTTTATAGTGATACGGACCTACCTCAGAAAACAGAAAAATCTCAAACACTTAATCTTACACCTAAAGTAGCTGGAGAAAGAAGAACAAACAAAACCCGACGTTAGTAGAAGAAAAGAAATCATAAAGACTTGAAATAAGTGAAATAGAGACTGAAAAACAATAGAAAAGATCAACGAACCAAAGCTTGTTCTTTGAAATGATAAACAAAATTGATAAACCTTTTACTCAGACTCATCAAGAATAAAAGGGAGAGGGCCCAAATTAATAAAATCAGAAATGAAAGAGAAGTCACAACCAACACCACAGAAATGCAAGGGATCATAAGAGGCTACTATAAGCAACTGTACACCAACAAAAGGACAACCTAGAAGAAATGGACAATTTCTTAGAAAGGTACAATTTGCCAAGACTGAATAAGGAAGAAATAGAAAATATGGATAGACCAGTTACCAGTACTGAAATTGAACCAGTAGTTAAAAATCTCCCAACAAACAAAAGTTCAGGATCAGATGGCTTCACAGATGAATTCTACCAAACATTTAGAGAAGAGTTAACACCTATACTTCTGAAACTATTCTAAAAAATTGCAGAGGAAAGAATACTTCTGAACTCATTCTATGAAGCCACCATCACCCTGACAAAGGTATCATGAAAAAAGAAAATTAACAGGCCAATATCACTTATGAATATAGACGCAAAAATTCTCAACAAAATACTAGCAAATTGACTCCAACAATGAATTAAAAAGATCATACACCATGATCAAGTGGGATTTAACCCAGGGATGCAAAGATTCTTCAATATTTTCAAATCAATCAGTGTGATACACCACATTAACAAATTGAAGAATAGAAACCATACGATCATCTCAATAGATACAGAAAAAGCTTTTGATAAAATTCAACATCCATTTATGGTAACTCTCCAGAAAGTGGGCATAGAGAGAACATAACTCAACATAATAAAGGCCATATATGACAGACCCACAGCTAACATCATACTAATGGTGAAAAGCTGAAAGCATTTCCTTTAAGATCAGGAACAAGACAAGGATGCCCACTCTTGACACTTGTATTCAACAGTTTTGGAAGTCCTAGCCATAGCAATCACAGAAGAAAAAGAAAGAAAGGGAATCCAAATCAGAAAAGAAGAAATAAAACTGCCACTGTTCACAGATGATATGATACATATATATATAGAAAACCCTAAAGAAGCAACCAGAAAACTACTAGAGCTCATCAATGAATTTGGTAAAGTTGCAAGATATAAGATTAATATACAGAAGTCAGTTGCATTTCTATATACTAACAATGACATAGCAGAAAAAGAAATTAAGGAAACAACCATTTACAATCGCACCAAAAAGAATAAAATACCTAGGATTAAACATACCCAAGAGGCAAAGGACCTATACTCTGAAAAGTATAAGACACTGATGAAAGAAATTGAACATGACATAAACAGATGGAAAGATATACTGCGTTCTTGGATTAGAAGAGATGGATATTGTTAAAATGGCCACACTACGCAAGGCAATATGCAGATTCAGTGCAATCCCTATCAAATCACCAATGATGTTTTTCACAGAGCTGGAACAAAAAATGTTAAAATTTGATCGAAACACAAAAGGCCCCAGATAGCCAAAATGTCTTGCAAAAGGAGAATGGAGTTGGGGAAATCATGCTTCCTGACTTCAGACTATACTACAAAGCTACCATAATCAAAACAGTATGGTACTGGCACAAAAACAGACACATAGCTCAATGGAACAGGATGGAAAGTCCAGAAATAAACCCACGCACTTGTGGTCAATTAATCTATGACAAATGAGGCAAGAATATACAATGGAGAAAAGACAGTCTCTTCAATAAGTGGTGCTGGGAAAACTGGACAGCTACATGTAAAAGGCTGAAAGTAGAACATTCTCTAACATGATATACAAAAATAAACTCAAAATGGATTAAAGATCTAAATGTAAGACCAGATACTATAAAATTCCTAGAGGAGAACACCCTTTGACATAAATCATGGCATTATTTTTTTCAAACTGGCTCCTAGAGTAATGGAAGTAAAAGCGAAAAGTAAACAAATGGGATCTAATTAAATGTAAAAGCTTTTGCACAGCTAAGGATACCATCAAAAAAGTGAAAAGACAACCTACATAATGGGAGGAAATATTTGCAAATGATGCAACTGACAAGGGACTAATTTCCAAAATTATTTAATAATTTCCAACAGCTTTTACAGCTTAATATCAAAAAAGCAAGCAATCCAATCGAAAAATGGACAGAAGACCTAAAGAGACATCTCTCCAGAGCAGACATCCAGATGGCTAACAAGTACCTGAAAAGATGCTCAACATCACTGTTAGAGAAATGCAAATCAGAACTACAGAGATATCACCTTACACCAGACAGAATGGCCATCATTAAAAAGGCCACAAATGACAAATGCTAGAGAGGGTGTGGTGAAAAGGAACCCTCCTACACTTCTGGGGGGAATAAAAATTAGTGCAGCCACTATGGAGGTCAGTATAGAGGTTCCTTAAAAAACTAAAAATGAACTTACCCTATGATTCAGCAATCCTACTCCTGGGCATATATCCAGAGGAAAACATAGTTTGAAAAGACACATGAACCCCAGTGTTCATAGCAGCACTATTTATAATAGTCAAGACATGGAAACAACCCAAATGTCCATCGACAGATGACTGGATAAAGAAGATGCGGTATATATATACAATGATGAATACTACTCGGCCATAAAAAGAGAGTAAAATAATGCCATTTGCAGCAACATGGATGACCTGGAGATGATCATTCTAAGTGAAGTAAGTCAGAAAGAGAAAGAAAATTACCATACGATATCACTCATATGTGTAATCTAAAAAAAAGACACAAATGAATTTATCTACAAAGCAGAAATGGATTCACTGACATAGAGAACAACCTTACGGTTACCAGGGGGTTAAAGGGGTGGGGAGGGATAAATTGGGAATTCAAAATTTGCAACTCTTGGGGAGTAATAGAAATGTTAGCTATCTTGACTGTGGTGGTAGGTTCATTGGGGTATGCATCTATCAAAATTCATCAAATTGTACATCTGAAATATGTGTATTTTACTGTAGGAGAATCATACCACAATAAAGGTGTTTTATATACACACACATACACACACACACACACACACACACATATGAATAAATATCTCATGGTAATACCATAAACAAACAAAAAACAAAAAGAAACGAAAAAAAGAAAGCAAGGCAGTAATAATTAGTTGAAGAATCAATTCTATGTAGGCAGGAATAATTCCTGAGTCCCAGATTAAGTGTATCCAGCTTTAGGTGGTGTGGTATCATGGGAAGGAAACCTCTCCATACTTGGGAGATGCATTTTTTTCCCCCTTCAAACTCTACACCAAAAAAGTCCTTGAGGCAGAAGATGTTCATTACAACTTAGCTTCTTCAGTATTCATCTTAATCAAAAATAATAATGAATATTAATTCCATTAATGATAATATAATAATGGTACATTTTAAAGCAAACACTAAAGTAGCACTATCTACCAAACACTATTCTACGTGCTTTGCATGTGTTAACTCGTCCCTCAAAACAGCCTTATAAGTACTGTTACCTTCCCCATTTTACAGGTGAAGAAACTGAGGCACAGAGTGGCTAAAATTCTTGCTCAAAGCTGTATAGGCAATAAGTAACAGACACAGACAGTCTGGATCCAGACCTTATGGTCATAAGAAAAATGCCATGCTTCCTCCCTGAGAATAAATCTAGTTTCACACTTACCAGGAACACAGATCGTATGCTGTCACAATATTTCATAGATAGGGAGTTTTTGTCAGTGGGGTTAGCTGGTTCACAGTCGTGTATGTTAATGTATGGCGTGGGAACTTTAATAAAATTCAAAGTCTTCATTTTAAAAAAATGGGAAATTGTGATATTAAATATGTCCATGATCAAAAAAATTACTCCGGAAATCGCAGCAAAGAGACTCAACGAGTTCATTATGATTTTCCCTTTGACCTGAAACAGATACATAAATATTTATCAATTGGGCTTAATTCATAATTAGAGAATATAAGGTAGGATGGAATTTCAGATCCCATTCCCCTGACTCAAAAAAGTACTACACCTAAATCATACTAAATTAGACTTCTCTCGGTTGTTTTTAGTCTCTTGGTCACTATAAAATTAAAAAAGAAAAAAACCGCCAAATCTCAAGCCTGTTCCTTTCTCAGTCTTCCCCATCTCCTTCATGCCGTCACCATCCAGTCAGTTTATCAAGAAAGCATTCTATGAGTGATCCTCGTACTTGCTTTCTCTGCCACCACCACCATCCTACTAGGCATTCGGTACCCAATGGTTGAGTAAATGAAAATAAATAGTAACCAGGTTCTATCTTTCTGCATAAGAGGGGAGAAGGGAGAGAGAGAAGAAGGTTCTTCAGCACGGTGAATCAGGATGGTATTGTGGGTATAGGTAGGGACAGAGCAGATAGAACCCAGGAGGTCCAAACCATGAAGTGGAAAAAGCCTGCAGCGAGAACAGTAACACCCGCTCCCTGTTGACATAGGACGCAGTCAGCACCAGTCAGACATCTTTCAAAACACAATTAGGGCTGATGTCTCTCGGTAGCACGGGTAAGAGGATGCCTGTGTGCCCGTTCTACCTTGCAGGGATACAAGGTTGAAACAGGAAGATATATGTGACAAGTACCATAATGGTACGGGGTTACTGATGATTATTTTAAGACACATATTTCACCCCGGGTTGTTCGACCTACAGGCGGCAAGTCAGTAGGACTGGCTGTATTTGGAGAAGAAATACAACTTGATCTTCATAAACAGCGCCCCCTCCCCTCCAAATTGAGTTTGTCAGACTACCTCCAGAGAGGTGCCATCTTAATCTCCTCAGTCCCTCACTGATTTTGCAAGTGACTTAAATTAGTTATAGCTTAGTAAGTGTAAAAAAAGCTGAGGAAGGAAACTTGCTGGTAAGCTCTTGACCTGCAGAGAACTGGGAGTTCTTCCTGGATGTGACTGTGTCCCAAGGGCTTATACGAACCAGACCACTCTAGCTCTTCCTAGCCTCTGAGGCACCTTCATATGCATGACTCCAGTTTACCCTCAGGATAATTGCATACAATAGCAAGGACTATCATCTCCGTTCTCTGGGGGAAAACTCAGAGGTACGTGGAAGTAAACTGATTTGCTCAAGGTTACAGCTCAGGGTTAACTAGGACTTGAGTCAATCACAACATTGATTACACAGTCTTCCTAAATACTGGTCTGAGAAACGACAGGGCGTTCAAAGAGATCTTAGTCTCACGCAGCATTTCACATTCCTAAGACCATAAGCATGCTCTTTACTGATCTGCCTTTAATTCTGTTTCCATGGACATATTTCAGGTGGACCTCATCCCCCTCCCTTTTTTTTTAATGAAGAAAACCAACAACAGCATCATAGAGGATCTTTTGCTTTTTCAGGCTAAGAGATAACTCAGTACTACTGTGATTCCAAAGGTCTGCAAGGTCCTTGATTTCAACTGAGAAAATAGATAATTTTCTCTGATGTGTGGGGAAGAAGGACATAACGATCACTTGCCAAACTCTCCCTGGAGTTTTTCTCCGCCGCAGCTGCCAGGAGTGATCCAGAAATGATAAACTGTAAAAAGAAAGGTGGTGGGTGGGGAAGCGGGTGGGAGAGATGGGAGGAGCAGCAGGGAAGGAGAGAGGAGGGCAGACAGAGAGGGAGATCACTTTAACATTGAGAACTGGTTGTCAAAAAGTTATCCACACTTTCAACCACTTTCACTAAATTATCCAGCCCTTTTTATTGGATTCATTCACTTTTTCACCAGCCATATCTCTCCTTTATTCAGATTCAGCCGCATTCAGTCCATGCCTTTTAGTCAACTGACTGAGGAGCTGCAACCAGAAATATACTAAGACCAGAGGCAGAACTGGCATTTCCATGCCAATTAGTACTCACACTGTGAATTTGAAAGTTTTATTTTTAGTTTCCCTTCCTTCCTTCCTTCCTTCCTTCCTTCTTTCCTTTCCTCCCTCCCTCTCTTCTTTCTTTCTTTC